AAAAAAAAAAAAAAAAAAAAAAAAAGAGCCTCAAAGCCTCACTCTCTATAATGAAACAAAGTCAGCTAAAAAACTGTTGTCTGCCATACTCACCTCAGGCAAACTTTAAAAAATCTCAGTTATCTTTTTAATTGATAAATCTCTGGCTGAGAGAGACAACCATATGGTCATTTTACAAATTATTCTATAAATATTTGAGGTCTTTGAAAAGTATTGTTAACCAAAATTTAAAGCGTAAGTGAACATCACAAACAGACAAAATGACTACATCTAGTGGTAAAAATTTAAATGTATACTTTCTTGGCTTCTATTTAATGCTTTATTAAATCCCTTCTATAACTGGTTAACTACAAATACTACCATGCAACTTCTCCCAAGCTACACTATGTAGAGACTTTTGCATGATTAAAACATCTCCATAGAGAGGCAAAACTTTTCCTGTGCTGAGAGTAACATCTATTGCTTTTATTATATTTAACTGATTTTCATAGAGCTTGGTCTTTCCACTAATACTCAGTGGAATTCTGGTTGTTTTGGATGCCTCACGGAATAGTTAGAAATAATAAATGTTGGCAAGAACATGAAGCAGTGAGATCCTTCTGGTGGTGCCTAAGATGCTTCAGGAAACAGTAGAGCAGTTCCTCAAAATGTTCAACATATTATCTAGCAATTCCACCTCCAAGAATAAACCCAAGAGAAATGAAAATATGTTCAACAGCCAAAAGGTGGAAACAGCTAAATTGATAAAGTACAGGACATACTCATAACAAAAAAAGTATTATTTTGCAATTGAAAATGGAGTACTGATGCATGCAATAGCATAGATGAACCTTGGAAACATATGAAAAGAAAGAAGCCAGTCACAAAAGACCACCCATTATTTGGTTAAATTTAAATGAAATGTCCAGAAGAGGCAAATATAGAGACAAAAAATAGATTAGTGACTTCCAGGGCTGGGGAGACTGCTGTGAAAAAGTAAACTTCAGGGCTGGGGATTTAGCTCAGTGGTTCTACCACCTGTCTCACAAGTACAAGGTCCTGAGTTTGTGATTGGCTAAAGCTCAGTTTGGCTTCCAGGTATAGAAATAACTTCGGGCTAATGGTCTCATGCTTATTTTTTGGGAGCATTTCTACAGAAATTTTGAGGAAAAATCATTTTATAAATAAAGTATGACTATGGCTGTCTAAGGCTCAATGTCACCTTGTTCCTAAGCCGGCTATGGCATTTGGAAACAACTGTTTTGTTTCTGGTCACAGCTGAAGCCTCAATGGTCCTGTAATGCTGTGGTGCTCACCTGCAAGATTACATCAGCTGAAGATATCCTGGTTCTTTGAAAACCGAGTAGTAATACAAAAAGAAAAAGGTTTCACCTGGGAGAGACTAATTCCTTGTCAAACTTAACCCATCCCACCCACCACTGTAAGAATGCTCTCCATACAAGTCCTCTTCAGTAGAAGAACCTCATGACTTAAGATCTCCATCAGCTCCTCAAGTACTTTGACCATCACTCAAGTCACGTGATGCTCCCTCCAGTTACTGTGTGTACCCAATATATAGTGGCTAGCTCGGAATGTCTTTGTCATTGCCCACTCTGAGGTACTGAACTCTGGCCCCCCATATACTTTGAAATTACACAAGTCTCTATTGTCTTTTTCTTTGGTCCCTGCTGTCCCCCTTTCTAGGCAGTCAGAGGATTGATCGCCCTCTGATTCTTATTTTACTTTAAAAGTGGGGTTGCTGGGAGTGTGTGTGTGTGATGATGCAATTCTACCCATGCTTCTGGTACACTTTTACTCTGATGGACTTCATGAACTCCACGCACTTATACCTGTAGAAGTCTCAGGATGCTTCCACTCATCTTTTTGCAAATCTCTTTGGTGTGTGGTTTAGTAGAGAGAACAGCTGAATATTGCAAGGTCATGTGTTTACTAAGGCTTTAAATTTAATACAAAACTAATTTGTATTTCTTTGTCAAAAGCATTCTTAAATGAAAGTGACTTGTCTTTTTTCCTCTTTTTCCTTTAATGGCTAATATAGAGCAAAAAAGACTACAAATTCTATTACCATAGTCTTATTTTGGATGAAAGCACTAGCAGCTTCACCACCACTGAAATTAGAAATGCAGTGAAAGATGAAGACAATGTATCAGTTTTATTGCAAAACTAGTTTTGACTTAAGGGTTCCCAGAAAGGGTCACAGGAACCAATCACCTTACATATTTAGACCAGAAGTGACAAATCTAGTGCCACAGGCAGCGGTTTGTCATCTTTGAAAGCTCTGAAAGATTTGCCATGACCAATAGACCATACTTTGAAAATCATTGCCAACTAATATTTTCTGAATCATGTATGAGTCTAAAAATGATAGAAATAACATATTCATCAAAACATTGACTTACAGGTACAGGGGAAACTCTCTTTCTCCTTACTCCTGGAGATTCTGACTTCACTGTGCGACCTGACGGGGAGCTACCAGGCGACGGGCTGCGCCGGCCCTTGGGGGCTGAAGAAGCAGTGCTTGCCTGGCTGTCTCCTTGAGACTCAGCTGCCAAGTTACTCATTTCAGATCCATCTCCTTTAATAGGGATCGGCTTCACCACCTGAATAAAAAGTATTTGAATTTTGAGTACTTAAAAATATAAAAGATAAATACAATTAACATCATAGATTAGGATAATAAAAATGAGTTATTATAAAATATTAAATATACCAAATAATATTGTTATTACTTTTAAGCCATCAATGTCAAAGACTATTTTTCACCAAATAGGTATGAATTTAATCACTAGTTAAGAAATTTTACTGTACAAAATTTGAGACATATTATATCTCTTATTTAACATTCAGAAATCAAGAAAAGTAAACAAATGTGAAAAATAAGCACTTTTAACTTTGTTTTTCCCGTCTTTTTGAAAAATTCAGGGTCTTGAAAACAATACTAAGCCTAAATTTAAGTAAATAGTCTGATGAATTTAACACCATACTGCTGTTTTTTAAAGTTATTTCACAACAGGTTAGAAATGCATCTCAGAAAACTAAAAGAAGCTAAGATGTTTAACACCAATCTCTCAAGCAGAAATGCCTTTTAAAAAAAAAATTAGGATTCTAACACTGAATTCAGCCACGAACAGAAGGCCAAACTCTGCATCCATAATACCAGTGAAGCGCCTCACAGCGATCCTCCTGGCTCAGCCTCCCGAGTGCTGGGATTAAAGGCATGCGCCACCACGCCCAGCCTCACTACTCTCCTCTTAAGCCCCCTGGGTACCATGGTAGCTAAAACATCCGGAACATAAAGGACAATCAGATTGACTCTGTAGCATGCTGTTGGCTGAAATCAGAATCAGTGGGAAGAGTATACGTAGCAGACTGCCGCTCAATTTAGAGGGGTATCTAGAGCTTCAGTGGCTACTGAGATCTTTAAACAGACACTAGGTAATACCAGACTTCTAATGGCACTGACAGGATGGCGGTGTTGTAACTGTACTGCCTCAAAGGCAGCCACTAGCCACAATGGTTACTGGAATTTGAAATGTGACTAGTGCAACTGAGGAACTAAATTTTTCCTTTAGTTAATTAAAATTTAAACTTAAACAGATCCATGGGATGAATGTAGAGATACATGGGATGAATGTAGAGCTACATGATCTTTTTTTAGGGGTATAATTTATGCCTGTGCCAAATTTCAGATCCTATGTTGCCATGCCTATTATAAAAGAAAAAAAATAATGTGTAGGTGTGAACTAGTACTAAGACACTGTAACAACTGTTCATATACTTGAAAATAATCATGGCAAGGAATACAACATCTCTGCCTCTCCTAATGTAGGAATCTAATCTAGGTTTTCTTTCGCCAAACCTCATAAAATGTTGTTAAAGTCCATGGGTCTATTTAATTTTTTCTACTTTCCTAGAAGATCTCTGGAATTCAGATTCTTGGATTCTGTTTGAAGGGACAGAACATCTAAAACAAATTGGAAAAATTACTTCTTAAAAAAACTTAGAAATAAAATATAGAACTTTAATAAAATGATTTTTAGATACTGACATTAGAGGGCAGTGTTGCTTCAAGCATTTAGCCTTCTACAACTAGTCGTGTTTCTACAATTAAATTGCTTAATGAGCACGGTTTAATTGATTTGTTTCAAGTGTGCAGCATATTGAACAAATAAAACTATTGCATTTAAATGAAAAAGAAAAAAGCGTACAAAGCAATCTACTTAATGCTTAGTCTTCCATTTCTTCCTTGTAGAAGATAAACCCTAGCCACTTACCACTGGGCCTCTCCGGTTTCTCCTTTCCAACCACTCATGCTTCCAGGCCGGCATACACGTTGCCTTTAGTTTCTCCCTGATCATTCGCTCTTCTGGGCGATCATCCATCTTGTGCAACCCTTTGAGAGTTTCTTTACTGTCCATCTCACGACTAAAATGGAGGCAGAAATAAAGAGAAGAAATTGATATACATGAAATAATTTTTAAGAACAAGTAGAAGAACAATATGGTTGTTTTATACTTTCAACAAAAACTCCATATAATTTAAGCAAGGCCTGAAAAATATGTAAAATACAATGTGCTGCTAAATTTACAATGTGGATAGTGCTGAATGCTGCCTGATAAGATGAGAAAAAAAGAACGGTTCTACTTAGAAGTTGCAGGTTTACCCATACTATTAATGCAGATCTTTGCTGTAGGACAGTTACCAAGTTGGATCTTAAGCATTAAATATTACATTAACAAATATAATCACGAAGACTGCAGTTTCCAATTCTACCACCCTAAAACACATATATAACAAATAAGTATTTATAAAGGTTTCTTAATCTCCTTTATTCCAGGACTTCTAATAATTTATGTCAATATATTAAGAATCTATCAGGTATACTCATTTTGTGAAAGGAATCAAATAAATACTTCATAAGCAAGGTGAAACTTAACTAGATCTTTTATGATCCTGAAATAATTTTTCAAAGCCTAAATGATTAAATTCATGTTCGCTTGGAACAAGTTTGTGACAAAATACTTACAAAGCCAAAAGGTAAAACATCATTCTCAGAAAAATCTCTAATCTCAAAATATACTCATTTATACACATGCATATACACACACACATACATCCAACACAGGTTTTAAACCTGGTTCATAAGGAAACAGTTAAAACAATTGTACTCTGGGAGAACTAATTTTTTAAATACTTAGCTAACTCGAGAAGTCTATAAAGCCAGAGAATAGTGATTTTTTTCTACACTGATAGGAAAAGGAAATATTCAAGGAAATACCAGAGAAGATAACCTCAAGCTTACTAAAAAGTCAAATTCAAACTCCCCTAGGAATTTTCCAGTTAATCACTACTCTGAAGTCTTATCTTCAGAGAACCAGCAAAAAAATCAAATTAAAGCTAAATAGTCACTAGAGAGTGAATGCTTAAGTGATTTCAATGAAGCATCAATACTGTAGGGGAAAGGAATGAACATGATAAATAACTCTGTCAAAACTGGTCTATCAGTGGTGGCAAACCTATGGAACGTGTGCCACAGTGGGCTGTTTGTATCACCAAAAGCTCTAAAAGGCATACTAATACTGGAGATATTTTGAGGAACACAAAGAGCATGTAACAAGTGATCTGAGTCTTGCAAGTAGGTATTAAAAAACACAGTAAAGTATTTCTGCCACATAGAAATTTGTCACATTAAAAGAGTGAGAGATGAGGAAACTTTTTGTTTTAAAATCTGATGGCAGTTTCCCCGTGGACTTGGATTAAAATCCAAAAAGTGTGGTACAACCTCAGCTCAATTCTTGGTCCCAGCCCATACCACACCTTCCTGGTTCTTTCATGCCTTACAAACTCCAAGATCACCCTGCTGAGGGATTCTACTGTGCAAGCTGTTTCCCACTCTTACTACTTTTTGCCTCATTAATTTCTACCTACTTTTTAGGTTTTATCAGACTTTCCCAGTTTCAATTAGGGATTCCCAATTATGTTTTTTCAAAGCCCTTTACTTTTCTTCCTTCATCTCTTCATCCATCACCAACTGTAAGCTCCATGAGGGCAGGGATTTTATGTGTCTTATCTATCTATACAGCCAACATCTAAACATGTCTGGTTCATAATAGGTATTAACATATATATTAAATGAACGATAATCTTTTAACATCTTTGGTAGTCCTAAGGACTTTTCTACCTTTAAATGTAATGACTGTTGTGGTTTATATGTAACCCCCAAAGCCTCATGCACTCAGAAGCAGGGTTTTCTGGAAGGTGACTGGATTGTAGGGGCATTATATTGGACTTGCTGTTAGGACATGGGGGTCTAGTCACAAGAGGTGAATTATGGGGTGCATTGCCTAGAAGGTATATCTCTCTTCCCAGATTCTACTTTTGCCCTCTGCTTCCTGGTCACCACAAGGTAAGCAGCTTTTTCTCTGCCATGCTCCTCTGCTATGCCATCCTGCCTTGGAGCCAGCCAACTATGGTCTGAAACATGAGCTGAAATAAATCTCTTGTTCTTTAAGTTTTTGGCTCTTTTAAGTTATTGGGTATTTTGTTCCAGGGACAAGAAAAGTGACTAAAACATGACTCTGTACTTAGGTATTTTATTAAGTTACAACTAAATCTGCAATTTAGGCGTTATTCAACAGAAGATTTTTTTCATCATTCCTAAGTTAATTTGCAAATATAAACTAATATATTCTTTCTAGTCTCTTCATATCATTAATTCTTTTTTTTTTGGGTACCAGGGATAGAACTCTGGTCCTTGTGCTTGCCAGGCAAGTGGCGGAACCACTGAGGTAAATCCCCGGCCGGTCATATCATTAATTCTAAATTGTGTATTTTTCACATTTTAACATCTGAAATCTGATTACCTCAAATGTTATAATTGGCATGTTTTGTGCTTTTTCATGGTATATAAGATAATGGTATAATTTACAACCACTAGGATGTCAGAATCAACAGAATATACAGTAAATTCTATTTTTATGTACCAGGAAGAAATCATACCTACTCATAAGTTTTTTTTGTTTTTTTGTTTTTTTGTTTTTTTTGTCTCTGAAATGGGAACCAAACTGTGAGAAGAAAAACAAGTTTTTCTTAACATACCTGTCTTGTTTTCTTATAATCCTAACATAATCTTCATAGATCAGATAGGCATGCTTTTTATTTTTATCAGACATTTATATGTATGTATGTCTATACATGTATAGCAGGGCCTTGCCATTTAATTAATATCACAACGATGGAAGAAAATATTTTTTCTTTTAACCAAGGCCAATCTAAAATGGTAGCTACAAAGTGACTAGAAGAGAGCCACCTCTCATCCATAGCGACTAAACATATTATTTTTGTCATAGCTATTACCTATAAATATACCTGTTATTAACTAAATCAGTTTATATTTCTGACTTTAGTAAAGCAAAAACGTGTTTGGAAATTAAAAGTTTCAGCCTGATTAGTATGAGAAATTTAAACACTATTACAGGTCAAGCCTTATCTTCCTTTTTTGTTTATTTAGAAAATATGGGGCTTCTTGCCTTTTTTTTTTTTTGGTGGGGATCCCTAAGCATACCTAAGAATTAAACTACGACTCATTTCCTCAGAATAGAATGGATGTATGATCTAGAAGTCATGGACCCTTTCCATCTCAAGGTTAGGTTTCTAATCTTAGGCTTCACAGAATGCACTGGATTTTTTTTTAAGTCTGGGTCTAATCATTTTACTGACTTCATGAATATAAGCTACATCTTCTTCCTGGAGTATATTATATGCCAACTACACCTCCATTCTTACAGTACTAGTACTTCCTTTGTAAGTACATCAAAATGTTTCACATCTGTCTTTGCACCTAATTTCTTTTCTTCTGTCAGGACCTTTTTGCCACTGCATATGCTTTCAGCAAACAATCTCGTACTACTATTCTAGGCTGGCTAGCTACTCTCTCGCAGAATGCTAAATATTAATTGTAATATAGCATAAAATCAAATTTTTGTTTAAGTATATGCTTCCCTAACCCCATCAGATCTTCCAGGACAAGTTACATTTTTTTTTTTTTTATCATCAATGTCAAATGTCCCAGTCAGGCCACAAACGGAACCTAACACCCTGCCTCCTCTTCTAGGATGCCAGAGGCCTACCAAGCATAGCCACTCCCTCCAAAGGGTGATGTCTGACTTGGGGCTTTACACATTGACACTCACCCTGCAGTCCACAACTGGCTCTTGCAAGAATGCACCTTGGTCCAAGGTCCCCTCTAGACAGTACTGTGCAATTTATTCAAATCCTCTCTTTTTGGAAGTCTGATAGCAAGATACATGAAGGAAAAAATAGCCCCCAAACTGAAAAACAGAGTAAGGTAGTAGGTAAAACAAATGAGACAGAAACAAAGAGACAAGAAAACTTAGGAGGAGGATCTAATTTAAACAGAGAAGCAATAAAAGTAAATATAAGAGTTATACCTGGGTCCCTTGTTATGCTATTAGACAATTAGAGCTACTTTTATTCCACCTTGAGTGATGAATGACTGAATTCTCCAGGGCCTATATATATGCTTCAGAGTCCTCATGGACTCTTTACTTTGGAAGGAAATGTAAGCTAAGACACCTCCATTCCCTGCAACCTCAAAGAACCTATAACACCAGTTCTGCATGATGCCCCGAAGACAAGATAGTAACACAAAAACAGAATGCTGACAAGTCCACTAAAATTTTTAAGAAGTTATTTCTTCAATGGTTTATCCTTAGCACAGTACTATGTTAGCCAACAACTAGAGACAGGAAGAAATAACTGCCACATTGTATCATAATAGAAAGGGTCAAATGTTACATGCCAGACAAGATGTAAGGTGTTTACACCAAAGAATTTACTTAACCTTTCCAAAAGCCCTGTAAGGTCCTTACTATCTGAGGCTTAGAAAGACGAGGTCACATGTCCAGGGTCACTCAGTTGATAGGTGGGTAGCAGAACTAGGATTTGAACCCCCAAGACTGACTAAACCACGTGCTCTTCGTGGCTGTGGTAGGTCACTCACTGTCCAATCTGACCTCATTTTTATAACAGGTCAGTACTCATGTATCTGTGCTGGTATCTACTACTAATAATAATACCCAAAAAATTTCATCATGGTGATGATTTTACTACCATCACTAAAGCAGCACATTCTGGTTCATTTACAGCATTTCTGTGTAAAAGGAATAACTAAGACTATACTCATCAAATAAAACCTTTCTAAAAACTAATAGGATTTATTTAACCTTAGTATAAAGATGTCCACAACATCCTAGATTGTGGGTAACTCTACAAAGAAAAATCTTGATTCTTGGAGTATCCAGGAAATCTCAAGGAAACTTCAGAAATACATGGATAATCTGGACAGGCACAATTCTAAGCTACCTGTGAAGTCCACATAACCAGCAGGGATTCATATACTACCAAACTCACACATCTTGTTACCACAAAGA